CACCCAAGCCAGCGGAGCCAGAATCAGATTTACTCTTTAACTCTCAAGAAATTAGACCATCCCAGTCTATGCCTTCACGACCCGCTCAGCCTTCTCCTCGACCAACTCCACAGGCTAAGAGACCATCACCACGACCAGCTCGGGAGATCCCATCTATCAGCCCCGTTGCGCTGCAAACCTCTACACAGCACCGTCTCCAGGGTACAGCTCACTTCAAGCGAGGTGACTATGCTGCTGCCCACTCATCCTACTCGTCTTCGCTGTCAGCTGTTCCACCGACACATCCTCTTGCCATCTTGCTCCTCTGTAATCGTGCTCTGACTGCGCTAAAGACCGGAGAGCCCAAGCAGGCTGTGGAAGATGCCGATAGTGCACTCAAGCTTATCGGACCTGGCAACGGTCAAGGAGAAGTGGTGGCAGTAAAGAATGAGACTGGAGTAGACGAAAACCGAGACCTGAAAGACCTTTATGGTAAGGCCTTGAGCAGGAAAGCAGAGGCTCTAGAACAGATGGAGAAATGGGGCGATGCTAGTGCGGTCTGGCAATTGTGTGTCGAGAGTGGCGTTGGTGGATCGAATGCCATTAAGGGTCGACAGAGATGCCAAAACACTCTGGCGCCCAAGCCCAAGCCAGCACCGAAGCCAGCAGCCGCCAAACCTCGACCTAGACCCTCCGCAACGGCCAGTCTTGGACCCCAAAAAAGCTCCGAGGCCGTTACGCGTCTTCGTGAGGCAAATGAGGCTGCAGCTAAGGAGGATGACGAGAAGTTTGTACTCTCGGAGAAGGTTGATGCCAAGGTATCTGCGTGGCGCGACGGAAAACGAGACAATATTCGGGCTCTCCTTGCTAGCCTCGATAGCGTACTGTGGGAGAACAGTGGATGGAAGAAGGTGGGCTTGCACGAACTAGTTATGAACAATAAGGTCAAGATCTCGTATATGAAAGCTATCGCAAAGACACATCCTGACAAGGTAAGCATTGTGTCACACATCACCCTGTCTAAAGTATCTCTAACATATCGCAGCTTCCCCAAGATGCAAGTACCGAGGTTAGGTTGATCGCGGGATTGGTGTTTAGCACTCTCAACGAGAGCTGGGATAAGTTTAAGGCGGACAATGGACTATGATCTATGCATGAGCATGAGGGACGGAGTTTGTAGAGCGTTCACTTAGAAGCGTGTCTTGAGACAGATGTCGGATGAGTATATGAATTTTATTTAGCGGCGATACCGCTGCCAAACACCATGCTATGCCGTGCCTCGCCGTGTCAAAGATGTGCGCCAATACTCCTTGCTACTAAGTATCTATATGCTATAGACCCAGCATTTTTCGGACACCCTCGCGGACCTTATTCTCGTATTCGGTGCGTCGCTCACGCCACATCTTGGCTGCCTCAACGTTTGCAGGAGACTCGTCGTTGGGCTCGGCGAGCATGCTCATGACAGAGATTAAGATCTTCTCGACAGACTGAATAGGTGACCATCGTTCGGATGCGTGCTCGTAATGGTTGGGATCGTCGCCGGGAGGGTGAAGGATCGAAATGCATACCAGACCACTAGGGTACACTGTAGAAAGTCAGTATGAGCATGCGAAAGACTGAAGAGTTGACGGACCATTTGGGTGCCACACGTCGGCGAGGAACTTCATTGATGGCGGGGCAAGCGGATAGTCCTTTGGGAACTTGAGCTCCGCAGGAAAGACGCCGCCCTCAAAGGGAGTACCCTCAGGACCTTGAATAAGGCATTCCCAGTGAAGAAGATCGTCCTCGGAGATGGGGCCGGCGGTGATTCCCTCTGGTGGGTTGTTGGTGAGAGCGCGATACTCTTGGAGTAGGCGGCGGTGGGCGGTAGACGTCATGACGCGGGGTGTTGCCGATAGGAGGAGGCAGTACCTATGCCAGCCAGTCACGAACAAAGAAAGGATGTATTCTAAGGAATCGACGTGGTGCAGACGCTAGACAAGAAATGCAATGATGTTGTTGGAATAGACTCAGAGAAGCGGAAGGAAAGCACGTTTCGGACAAGGTGGAGGGAAGGTGACGGCTAGTGGGGACCCCGGGATACGGACTGCCCCACACTTTTATTTCGGCGTCGACGGTCTTTTACCGTTTTGGGCAGATGTCAAAGAATCATGGATCTGACAGCTGGGAGCAATAATGAGGCCAAATTGAAAGTTGAGCGACTGAACCGGATGATTGGATGTATTGGGATTGGTGAAAACACGTAAGCACCGTGTTTGCGCCAGTACGCTGGCTTCGACTCTATGAGTGAAGCTGACCGGGACAGTGAAACATGATGAAAAGCAGAGCAAGATGAAGTTACCCTACTGTAGTATACAAGCTAGTGATTCATATCATGGGTTTCGTATCTGCTAGCAATGGTTTGACCTCTCAGATAGTACAGAGTGTTTGTGGATGTTCGACCAGCGAAACTCAAAACAACCTCTAAGACAAAATTTCATATAAAAGTAGTTTGTTGCTCGGGATGACTATAGCCAATCGAACAAGGAAAGCCTACAAGTAAGCTAGATTAACGCAGAATACAGAATTTATCACCAAAACTCCCGCTGGCCCTCGACAGGGTCAATACACCTCACCACGAATTGCAAAACACCACAAAAAGTTCACGAACTCATACTGAGCTCGCTGAATTCTCCGGTGCGGGGAGTCGAACCCCGCTCGCCGCGGCATTTATTGCTATGCAATTGAAAACGCGGAATGATAAACCGATACACCACACCGGATGTGTTTGTTGAAGATCCACGCTGATGTTGAGCATTATAAGCAGCTGTGCAATTTGTGGAGAGATCAGTGGATCATGACCCACTTAGTTCATTGCCCGACTGGCTCTTCGAAACATGCGTTGATTGGCTGTCTGTCGAGTTGTCTGGGACAAGCGCCGTGTAAGTCAACACTCTTATTGATCATGTTCCCCGTCTGCAACAGCTCTGTATTTTCAACCACTGGCCTGAATATTACTGCGCTGTGAGGACCCTACATAAAGGAGATATGTGAGTATCCAGGATTAGCATTAGAAGCTTTAAATCTACCCGTATATTCCCTTATGGGCTCCGTGATTGATAAGAACAGCGAGGCCTTCAGGATCCAGAGGCATGGCGGAGAAATTTTATTTGATATCAGAAAGCGGCAGTGTAAGTGAGATGAATCAAAACAGATTTTGGTATTAGTCTGCTTGCTAATTGGCAGTGGTTGATCTTGTAGAAGCTTGGTATGATTACCTTGATATCGTGCCTCTTGCTTCGACTTGTGAATAGCTTCACTTTCGAAAAAAACACATACGGCTTTAAAACGCGTTACTAACAAATAAGAGTGGTTGAGTGCACAGACAAAGCTACACAGGGGGTTGCTACCGAAACCCCTCTAATAACAAATGGCACCGACCCAGATCTGACACCGAACCAAAAAGGAGGCAATGATGGCCACTTCTTGATTCCCAACGTGAAGGATTTCCAAAACAAACATCGATCTTCATAGACTTCGTTTAATACAAATGGACTGTCCTGGAGAATCACGAAAAGAATAAGAAGCCATTATACATGCAACCTTTTGAATGGTTTGGACAAGTGATATCCCATAAGGCCGCAAGAACTCACTTCATGTACGCGATATCTTCATGTTGACAGATCAGAGTAGCGTGAGAGCGTATGGCTTTTATTCGTTCGAATAAATCACATAGATCTTTCGACAGATACGAGGATTGGCATTCGACCGTGCACACTACCCAGGTTGATAAGAGCAATATAAATTGGCAATGGATGCCAACTGTGGTGCTCATGGGAGAAGTACCTAGAGTAGGTACTCAAGTATATACTTGTCCTTAAATGATGGGTATTTTTTGAATGACAATTAGCAATGCTTAATTAAAATCACCCTGATAATTATCATTTTGATTTGGGCCCAAATATTTGGTTTGTGGCTTTACTGGCTGTAAATCACTTACCTGGCTTAGAATTCGCTTTCGTTTTTTTTCTGTGGAAACTCGCATACTTTAACTACAGTATTCCTACATAATTCATGCGAACTTACACAGCTCCACTCTCCTCATCTCTACTCTAAACTTCACTCCTCACTCTCCATTCTTCCACTCTCACCCCTTCCCTTCCAACGCCTACTCTCACCCTATCACACTTCATCGCATACCCCTTTCATGCTGTTGACTCAGACTTTTACCACTTTTAAAGTCCCTAAGAACCACGAAAGCCCTCTGATTTTCACCATCTATTCAGAATGTCTAGTCAACATCAGGATATTGCCCCCAACACCACTGGCTAGGGTTATGCCACTGGACAGAACAGTCGCGTTCGACGTTCTCTCATCCGTTACAAAAAGTCGTCGTAGCATATCCCATTTCATGCTGTGAATTAAAACTTCTGTTACTCATGCTGTTGACAGTGGAGAAGAATGGGCCCCGACCGGATGGTGATCGATAGTATCTCAAGCACGAAAACCGCCAGTAGGACCACGATGTTCAAATCCGCAGCACGGGGCGCAGGGTCAATGGCAATCATCATCTGATCTCTTAGGATGAGTTTAGCCTAAGGTAGCCTAAATTATCATAAATTTAGGACTAAGATTTCCTAAGTTTATGCAATCCTTAGGATAGCTCTTGGAATACCTCTTAGATATTGATGTTTACAAAGAACTGGTTCAACACTGATCAACATCATATAAAGGTGTTCTTGTTGTTATGACAGGGTAATCAAACTCGTATAATTAGTCTAGAATTCAAAAACCTTGGTGATATTTGTTGTTTGCAAGTTCAAAGGAAATTCTGATTTGTCGCTCTGGTGGTTGGTAAACAAGAAGAGAAGAGTGAAACGTAGCACACAAAATGTACCATTTATATATATGCATGTCCGCCCCTGAACGCGAATAAACCTGAAGTTTCATCTCATCGATCAGTGTGCCCTGGCGAAGAGTGATAGCTAAGTGTGTTAGGCGTTGGAGGTCCTTCTCTAGCATGACGGCCAGAGCCTCGCGGTTCACGTCCTAGAAACAACAATGGTCAGCTATGAATCAACAATGATTTTTTCTTTCCATCATCAATCAGAAACTTACAATGTCAAGGTCTGCAAGCGAGACGGGATGTATCATCAAAGACTCGTCTGGTGCGGATGTCTCACGTAGAGTATGCTTGTGATCAAGAACCAGCCATTCAAGCCCCTGGCATCTGCAGGCGACAAGCTCATTCAGGGTTCTGACTGGAACTACCCCCCAGTCTGCCCTGTCTTCGTTGAGGACGGCAAAAAGGCGCTTGAGATTCGGAAATCTGACGGTTTGGATGAGATTCGTGAAGATTGGGTTAATATCTTCATGGATGTGCAGTGACTCTAGTGATTCTGGGGTACACATGTCGCGCACCATGTGGTAAAAGTTCTCTCCGTCAATATCGTGTGATGATATGTCTCAAGCAACACGTAGGCTTTCCCATGTTGGCTGTCTGCCTACTTTGGGGGCTCTGTCGGCCGTCAAACAGCGAAGGCCTCGCGCCAGTCTTCCGGGCAAGGTGGGGGATGCCAGTTCAACATTCACAGAGATGGATTGAAGTGGCATCTCCTGCAATGCTTGGCGGAATAGTGTCGGCAGCTCGTCACTGGGGAGCGAAGGGGGGTAGTCTTGTGCTTGCCGATGGCTGTGTTTATCGGACTGTAGTGGTCGTCCTCCCGAAATGAAGAATATAGCATGACTTGAAACGTCAGAATCTCATCGTGATTTCCTTACCGCGAGATGAACATACCAGACTTGTCCAAGAGGTCGCGGCAAAATATGAGCAGAAGGTCGAAGGAGTGTCTTGAGGCCTTGCTCTACGACTTTCTCGGATCCTCTGAATGCCATGTGGTAAAATAATCGAAGACCAAAAAGTTGTCTGCATTGTTTAGACGCTTTCGTCAGCGCATCAAGACTGCTTGCATCCAGCAGCTTGACAGCCATTTCGCGCAGCTCTGGCGGAAAGCCTGGCGATAAAGCTGCCATCTTTTGGGAACCACTTTGCGGATGGAAATTTAGTATATAGTTGTCCAGATCTTTTATGAATGCTTCGCTGATATCCTTCTCCGGAGCCTGGGCGTTTGCCGGGAAATTATGGGATCTCCAGCGCCTCGCAAGATGAACAATGATGCGTTGCTGAATGTTTCTCTGGTTAATGTCTCTGCCCGTAAGAGCACCCTTTGCAGACCAGCGGCAAGTCTCTGGAAGAAAACACAAAGCGAAGCTCGGGCTGCGGCAATTTCCAGTGCTCCTAGCATTCTGTTTGTAATTTAACATGCATCCAGCGGTGGCGCGCTGACAATCATGGATGGTGAACATGTTTGGGTGGCCAAAGAGCTTGTGAATGATCCTTTTCAACTGCTCAGCAGAAACTTTAGGAAACTGGTAGTCGAAGGGACTGTCAGGGTCTATCTTGACTTCCTGAGAGACAGTGCTGGGTGCGACCTGTAGACGGCCCGCCAATGCTGCAGTCTGGCGACTTGGGCCAGCACCTAGAAGGAAATAAGTAAGTCTTTGAGAGAATGCATTGGCAATAATACCTAAGCACTCTGCCCAGTGGCATAACCCCAGCCAATGGGGCTAAGGCCAATATCCTGACGTTGAGCAGATGTCAAGAAGAAGACGATCGCTGTGGTTCTCAAAGACTTGAAAGTTGATGGCGACTTGGAGATCTTGCACTACTAAGAGTGTTGATAGGCACGCTCCTTCATAAGACTAGATTCTAGATATAGAGGTGTTCTTGTTGTCTTACATGTTGTCAGCACGGAGGCTCTGCAGAAGATGATATTGTCAGAGATGAAGAGACGGCCATGAAGAAGAAAGACGTACAGATTCGTGATTTTGGCATCAAGGGAGAGATGACAACCCAATATATCGTAGCTGGCAGCCGAAGCCCGGCTTGATACTGTGCCCCGAGAAATATATATATATATATAGAAAGTATCTTGAGAGAGAGAGGATAAACCCGCAGTGCGCGACGGGCGCGAAAGATATAAAGAGGTAGGCATGTTTGTTTACATGAAGATTTGCGAGGAGCGTTGAAAGTTTGCGGGGTGACAAAAGCGAAGATGGGAAACAAAATGAATGCTAAGAGCAATTTGCTTCATCAAATGCTAACAACTTCGCTTGATGTTATGATATCAAGTGCTGAAGAACTGTTCTCAGAGTTTGAAAGAATCGTCACAAAGTTGTCTAAGCAAAATACCAATGAGTGAGCATCTTCCCCTGGATTTGGCGGGAAGTGAAATGCAGAGAAACTAACAAAGTAGGCAGGAAGAATGAGGAAAATGTGCGTTGATTCAGAAGGAAATGCTTAGTGATAAAGAAAACTTTCTGAGGCGAGAATGCAATGGCGCAGTATAAGAATAAGAAGTTGGCTATAACGCTGAATTCGAAGTGTGCCATACAGTGCCAGATCACTGCCAGCCTCATATAAGACCCTGCTGCTCCAAACCTCCCGCCAAGTACACCTCGTCACGCCTTTCTAGACACCATCAATTCGATATCCAGATACATGAGATCGACCAGAACCAGGATATCTTAGATCCAGTAAAAGATCTTACCCGAACTCTGAAGGGAATGTCATGCTAACACCCTTGGTCCTAAAAGCTATACTTGCATACCTACCTAGAAACATTCAGGAAAACTTAGGGTCGCCTTCAGGTATTGTTTGTATTGATCGTTGACTTATGTCTTGAGGGTCTGCGTTCAACTGCAGAGTTTACACAACACAGCCATTATTAGGCAGGTGACTCATCCCTTTGCCAAAACAAACAAACATTGTCGTTGCGTTTTGTTGAAGACATCTCTCAGAGCGAGCGGCAGAATGTTGCGCCGATTGTTTCCAGCGTGCTACTCTAAGAACAAAAGCAGTCATGAAAGGGAAGTGAATCACCAGCAAACAGTGTCAATGTCTATAACCACCAGAAAACAACCAACTACCAACTCTTGATTGTTGATTACTAAGTTTCCTATCTAGATTTCCCCGATTAAGTTCCTGCTCTTGTACAATCTCAAACCCTTGACAATATATAGTGGACTCCGCCATATGATCGCTAAGAAATGTGAAGCAATGTATACAATCAAGATATCAGTAGTCCCAATCATCGTCATCTCCCCAGTCTCCACCAGAATAGTCTACTACTGGTTTCTTTGCCCATTTGTCTTCTGCGACTGGGGCAGCTGGCTTGGCAGGTGCTGGTTGTGGTATACTCGAAATCAGTTTGGTATTACTGTTGTTATGTTGATTTTGAGCACTGGAATTGGCGTAAGCCGCAGAGTGATGATCAGCGTTGCGTGGTGCTGGCTCCTTTCCCATATGTTGGTCCCGTGTAGGAGGTTGGACCAACTTTGGCTCGTCGGGTTTAGAGGGCAAAGATGCTGTAGGGATATTGTGCTTGGAATTGTTGACCTGAGGTATGGGCTCAGGTCTAGAAGCAGGCTGCTGATATTGTAGGTTTGAGGGAAGCAGAGCAGCCTCTGTCCCCACACGAGCAGTCTCTGCGGATATTCTCGGAGTCACATCCGAGCTTGACTGAGAGTCGTTGTTCAGATGGACTTGAGGCTTGTTCATCATGTCAGTTGATCTCCTGTGGACTTGAACAATGGAAGGTTTCAAAACAGGCTGTGGCTGGGCCTGAGCCACCTCGATAGTTGTGATTGACCCAGCGTCCGAGAAGCTGTCTCTTCTGTAAGAGGACATGCGACTTATCGAGGAAGCAGCCGCGTCAGACAAGCCGGGGCTCACGGCAGGCGGGGGTGGAGATATAGCTCTCTGGCTGTTTGGCTGAGGTCGAAGCGTGTTTGACGCAGCAATTTGTGGAGGTTGAGGCGGCTGAGCAGTTTTGGACTGAGGCATAGGTGCTTGTTCCAAAGCTTTTGTTTGAGCTGGCGATGGTTGTCTTTGAAGTGGCGCTTGTAACTGAGAAATGTTGCTCGGTTCAACTCTGACAGGAGGAACCATGGAAGTTTCTGGCACTTTAGGAGGTAGAGTCATAGGCTGTGTAGCCGAGACTCCTACAGATGGCCATCCCGTTGAGTATCCTCTAAGCTCGGGCTGTCGATCTCTCGGTGCTGGACCTGGGGGAGGAAGTTTGCCAGGTCGAGACATCGTTTGATTAGACTGCAGTTGCGTTTGGACCTGTTGAGTGGGCATTCGTTCCTGCTGGGGAGGTGACTGTCGGCTCTGGGGCGGAAACTGCATTGCTTGAGGAGGAATTTGGCTCGATGGAGCCTGTACTGGCCCTGGCTGGGTATTTATCTGTCCTTGCTGCAGTGACATTTGTCTGTGCTGAGGTGGTTGCCGTTGTTGAGGAGGCAATTGCATGGTTTGAGGGAGGATTTGGCCTGGAGGGCCTCCTAAATGAAGCATTTGTCCAGATTGGGGAGGCATTTGGCTTGGCTGCTGAGACACTTGACTGTTCTGAGGAAACTGAGCGGCTTGATGCGGTAGTGGTCCAGTCCGAGGAAGTGGTTGACCAGGTCTGGAACCCATCTGGCCATGCTGAGGGGGTGCCTGGACGGGCTGCGTTGGTGGTTGAGCTGGTTGACGCATCTGCCCAGGTTGAGATTGAGGAGGCACCGTATTTCCCTGGAAGTCTGGTTGGGCAGAAGACATAGGCTGCCCGGGCTGCCATACAGCTTGCTGAGCATACTCTCCACCGCCCCAACTGGGACGTCCAACAGCAGGTGATATAGGTGAAGAAATGACTGGCGTAGTTGGACTATGTGAAACAGATTTGGAGCCACCCTTCAACCACTTGAGCCACTTCTTTCCCTCCTTGCCTTCCTTTGCCCCAGCGCTTTGTGAGGCCTGAGGTGGCATCTGCATAGAGACTGGGCGAGAGCCCTGAGGTGTCATAGGCTGCATGCTAGGCTGCCATTGTTGTTGGTTTAGAGGAATCTGAACTTGCGGTTGCACTCTCCCGTTGGAACCTTGGCCATGATAAGCCATTTGTTGCTGTCCTTGAGGAGGCATTGGGCCTGCCATTGGACCTTGTTGCATTTGCCCAGGAGGAGCAGGTCCCTGCGGGAACTGGGGTTGAGGAGGAAGTTGCCCTGCTGGACTGGCTGGATAAGACGAGCGCTTTTGCAACCTCGTTGGTGTAGGTTTAGGGGCTAACGCTGGAGGCGTTGGGGTAGGTGCAGGAGGAGGTTTATGGAGAACATTCTGCACCGGTGTAGATATCTGTCCAGGATGAGGAGCTTTTCCTTGAGCCTGGGGTGGCATCACCTGGCCTTGTATAGGTTGTCCTTGTGATCCAGGTCCTTGCTGTGGAGGCACTCCTTGAGGTGCTCTCGAATCTCGGGCAGGCATTTGTTGGTTTTGGTGTTGGGGTGCATGTCCTTGTGAGGGCTTTCGCTGCAACTGCTTCGGATTCTGAGCTGTCATAGGAGCACCTGGAGGAGTTTGCACTTGATGCATAGGCTGTCCTGTGTGGCCCTGTGGTGTTGGGCCCTGCTGTCCTTGGAAATGGACAGGTGAAACATTTTTCGGGCTTTCAGCTTGCCAACTTGTTCTTCGACTTCCCATCGGACTTGGTTGCACCGACGAACCTACTGATCCCTTCCTCATGTCTGTTGATACACTCACAGTCGAAGACCGACTCACTGTCGCGCTGGGAGATTCTTCGTACTCCTCGATGCGTCCTAGGCCTTGTTGTCCCTGTGGTGGTGGCGTAGGCGCAGCAGGAGGTTGATTTTGTGGTACAACATTTCCTTGAGGTAATTGTCGAAGGGACTGCGAACGTGATACTCCCTGAGGTGCGTTGTTATTATGACCCTGCGCAGTTTGTTGCGCCAAATGTGATCCACGTTGGGCAGCAACAGGGTCTGCCCCGACCGAGCTACGTCTAGCATCCGTGCTTCGACTTAGAGATTTCTTGCGTAGCACGTCTCGGGCAGCAATGTTATGACCTTGACCTTCAACATCTTGCATAGTAAAGTAGGATCCTTGTTGATACTGATTGGTCGGAACAGACGGAGGCGTTGGTGAGAAACTCTGCATTGACGACGAAGTTTGAGAAACAGGAGAAGGTGTATAGTTCGGATTGATGCTTGAATTGGTTGATGCGCGACGACTATATTCCATGGGAGATGGCGTTTGGGTGGGAAATGACATGCTGCCATGCCTCGAATCTGGCGAGACGACTGCAGAGCTAAATGATGAGTGTCGCCGATTGCTGGCTATGGGAGGAGATGGATCGCCAGAACCTTGACCTGGGATTTGCTTCTGCACAAAAGGCTCTTCTGGGTATGGCGGGTTATCTGTTCGATAGACTGGTCTATCATCAGGATAAGGTGGATTATCAACTGGATATGGAGGAAATGGAGTTGTAGGCCCTGCAGTTGCCGATCGTGGAAGACCTTTTGGTGGCACATTCTCAACTGGACCCCGGTAAGGTAGATTTCCGCCTTGCTGCGGCCCAGCATTGTAACGACCCTGGATTTGTTCTTGGGGTTGTCCACTCATCATATCAGGCATCACACTAGCCGGTCGTTTTGGCACCTGTTGCGGATTCATTGTACTAGTTGGAAACACCTGATGTCCAGTTTGAATGGTGGACTGTGGTCTTTGCGAAGGCAACAAGTCAGGCACAGTGTTGACCCTTTGAACGCCCATTCGCGGTTCTTCAAGGCGCTGTTGCTGAACAAGAGGTGCTGGAGTCATAGATGGAGGGTGTTTCCCTTGTGTAGGTGGTACGTAACCATGTCCTTGTGGTGGTCTTGCAGGACCAGGCATAGTTTGCTGACCCGGAGCTTTCCCACGAGCTGGCTTCAGTACAGACGGCATATGGGATAGCTCTGGCTGCTGATCCGGGACTAAAGATCCGTTGTTGGCAATGCTCAGGGGAGGAGGAGGTTGAGGGTGCTTTGGCGGTATTTGAGGCAGTGAAGGCTCATCGAGAGGACGTTTTGGTGGTACCTGAGGCGGCGACAGAACATTGGGCGTACCAGAATGACCTCTATCAGGTGGCCGAACAGGACTTGCATCCATCATTGACCCCTC